GGATGGGTAAGGAATGTTGTCCCTAGCCTCTGTTTGTCAGAGGGTGGAGATGGTGGCAGGAGAGAGAGATCACTTTATCATTACCGGTTAGTTTCATTCCCTCTGGGGCATCTGGCATTGGCCACTGTCGATTGACAGGATACTGGGCTGGATGGACCTTTGGTCTGACCCAATTCTTATGATCTTATGTTCTTAATTCTAGAAAGCATTTAAGAGCATGCTTTAAGTTAAGTACATGCTTAGGTGTTTTTCTGAATAGGGGTTTTTTCCTGAATTGGGGTGATATACTTCAGTACTCTTGGAACTTTTATAGCGTACCACCTTTTAATTAAAAAAATCTAAATGAGCTTTACAAACATTAATTCATTCGGCCACATAACATCCTGTGAGAAATAGGTGAATATTATTTTAGGGTTGGGTAAACTGCAGCACTGAAAGGTAAAGGACTTGCCCAAGGTCACACTGTAATTTAGTGGTGGAAGCAGGAACAATACGTAGGAATTATTATTCCTTGTCCCCTAGGCCTAAAATTTTAAAATAACTGAGCATGTGTCAAAATGTAGCACCTGGTACCTTTTGGTGCTATTTGTGGACATGGTTCATCTTGCATATGAGTCATCTGCCAGGCTTCAATAGTTACCTACACTATCATAGATAACATACAGATAAACAAGTCATTTTTGCAGATCCATGTCCTAATCCCTTCTGTGTAAGTTTTTCTGTTTTCACTTTCGGCAGTGGTGCATATTTCAAGAACTACACTTCTACAACTGTTTCCTTAAGCTTTCTCATTCTATTTAATTTCTGCCTGGCATTCAACATGAAATTTTAGGTTAATCAAAAAGGGCTCTTGTAACCAAGATAGTGGTTAAAATCTGTAATTCTATCCCTACACCTCTGTACTATAATAGAATAGAGCAGTGTACTCATATCTAGCCTTAGTGTATCAGAGACAAGTTTCCACCACAATAGAAACAACAGTATCTGCTGGAACAACAACTCTAAATCCAATAGACTCAGCAATGGACAGCTCTAAGGGGTAGCAATAAATTTACTAAGTACGTAGAAAGAGGTAGTAAGAGTTAAATACAAAAATTGTAAATCTTTGTTTTCTTTTATTGCTGTACTAACTATTAATGATCCAGTGTTGTGTTGTATATTTAACTTTTCAAATTAGAAAGGAATTTAGCTATTTGGGTTCTTATTCCACACTCATCACCATGAAACCCAAGCACTATGTGCTCAATCCTGCAAGGTGCTGGTCCCACTTGCTCCCTCTCCCCCTCCCCCCTCATACAGATAATGATAAGCACATGTTTTGTTTTGCTAAATTGGGACCAGAGCTCTCAACATCTTATTCCATGGAGCCCTTAATGTGGTATTTGAACACTAGATCCACCTAGGGACTTAGGCTTGGCAACACCTAGCTTTCAAGCACCCTGCTGCCCTGTGAAATCTGAAGCCCAGGCACCCAGGCTCCCTGTATAATGCATGGGGAGAGTTAGGTGCCTAAGAATGGGATTCATAAAAGCCAGTACACTGAGCAGGGAGCTGCTTAAACTAGCCAACAAGAAATGCCAAACAGCGGTGAACCCTGTGCTAGAGTTAGGTGCCTAAGTAAGGAAGCTCTTTCTCATGAAAAAAATTCACAGGCTAAGATCCCCACCCTGTTATAGTTAATATCCCTTGGCTAGGTCACTCACCTGGGATGTAGGAGAGCTGTTTTTAAATTCCCCGATCTGCCTGATTTTGGAGCAGGGAGTTGAATTTGGGTCTACCTACATTCCAGAGAGTACCCTAACCACCAAGTCAATTTCTCTCTGGCCCAATGAATATTTAATGATTTACACACACATTCAACAGGAGAGAAACCCACACCAGAATATCCAGTAGCCTGGAGCGTGGGTACTCACCTGATCTCTGGCAGTCTCAAATCAAGTTCCTGCATCACACCAGACAGTCGGGATTTGAAAACAGCCGTCCTACATCCCAGTAAGTACCCTAGCCACTGGGCAATGAGTATTCTGGGACATGCTGCTCTCCCTGCAAAATTTCCAATCTGGTTGCCCTCAGCTGTCTTTTGTGCAGGGTCAAGCATGGTGTAAGAGTGTCTATTGGATTGGGCACTGCAGCAAAGATGGGCAGGGATGCCCAGTGTGAGACTTCTGCCAGGGCATAGGCATGAGCTAGGGTGTCAAGCAGCTCTGCAGTGTGAGAACCTATGTGGTTTTGCAGAGGCTTGCTGGCAGAAAGGTAGGCAGCTTTGGACTTTACTGGCAGAAACGTAGATGCTTACAGGTTAGGCACCTAAAGTGGCAGTGAGGCACCTAAATCCCTTTGTGGACCTAATCCTGAGTGCCTTATAGCTGAGATGACTTCAGAGCAATAGGCACAAATTCACATGTTGCATTATGAGAGTTTATTTCTGGATGCTGCAGTTTAGTATCAGGATTTCCATTATTGATTCTTTCCTTCAATATTCTTCTGGAAAGAATATTCTGGCCTGAAACTTGGCTCACAAAATCTCAACCAAAGAGAACAATTTTATGAACATTTGCAACAATTTGTTTTGAGGTTTCAAAGAGAACTTACATTTTTTAGATGAAATTTTAGGATCACATATATCAATCTGTGATTGCCACCGTGCAGGGATCTACAGCCTGGGCTTCATCCCAAGCCCAGAAGTCTACACAGCAATGAAACAGCCCAGCAGCCGAAGCCCTGTGAGCCTGAGTCATCTGGCATGGGCCAGCCATGGGTTTCTCTTTGCTGTGTAGACATATCCATTCAGACGCGGCTCAGATGACCCTGTTCCTCTCCCCACATTGCATTTCCTTCATGTGCCTTTCTATCAGTCCTCAGGTGACAGGTTAATTCTTCCTTTAACTCACCCAGTGTGCTATCCTGATTAACAAATTACATTTTATTCCCCAGTCAAATATGGCTGGGAGGAGCTAATTTAGGGTCAGACTGAAGTCTGACCTGTTAACTCCCTGCACTCTGTCACACATTTGTTATGTAATTTTTTATAGCTGCCTTCACTTCCCCTCTAAACCAGGTTGTTGTTTTTGTAACCAATATGACCTTTTCTTGTTGTGCCCTCAGTGGTGAAAGAACAGGTTAAGGACTATTTAGAAAAGTTTGACATGCACAAGTCCATGGGTCCAGATCTAATGCATCCGAGGGTGCTGAGGGAATTGGCTGATGTGATTACAGAGCCATTAGCCATTATCTTTGAAACCTTGTAGCGATCGGGGGAGGTCCCAGATGATTGGAAAAAGGCAAATATAGTGCCCATCTTTTAAAAGGGCAAGAAGGAGAATGCAGGGAACTACAGACCAGTCGGCCTCACCTCAGACCCTGGAAAAATCATGGAGAAGGTCCTCAAGGAAATCATTTTGAAGCACTTGGAGGAGAGAAAGGTGACCAGGAATAGTCAACATAGATTCACCAAGGGCAAGTCATGCCTGACCAACCTGAATGCCTTCTTTGATGAGACAACTGGCTCTGTGGATATGGGGAAAGTGGTGGACTTAAGAATATATTGACTTTAGCAAAGCTTTTGATATGGTCTCCCACAGTATTTTTGTCAGAAAGTTAAAAAAGCATGGATTGAATGAATGGACTTGAAAGTGGAAAGAAAGCTGGCTAGATTGTGTGGCTTAACAGGTAGTGATCAATGGCTCAATGTCTAGTTGGCAGCTGACTGCCCCGGGGATCAGTCCTGGGGCCGGTTTTGTTCAACATCTTTATTAATGATCTGGATGATGGGATAGATTGCACCCTCAGCAAGTTCGCAGATGACATTTAGCTTGGGGGAAGAGGTAGATACCCTAGAGGTTAAGGATAGGGTTCAGAGTAACCTAGACAAATTGGAGGATTGGGCCAAAGGAAATCTGATGAGGTTCAACAAGGACAATTGCAGAGTTCTGCACTTAGGATGGAAGAATCCCATGCACCGCTACAGGCTGGGGACCAACTGGCTAAGCAGCAGTTCTGCAGAAAAGGACCTGGGGATTACAATGGATATGAGTCAGCGGTGTGACCTTGTTGCCAAAAAGGCTAAGGGCATATTGGGCTGCATTGGTAGGAGCATTGCCAGCAGATCGAGGGAAGTGATTATTCTCCTTTATTCGGCACTGGTGAGGCTACATCTGGAGTATTGCATCCAGTTTTTGCCCCCCCACTGCAGAAAGGTTGTGGACAAATTGGAGAGAGTCCAGTGGAGGGCAACGAAAATGATCTGGGGGATGGGTCACATGACTTATGAGGAGTGGCTGAGGGAACTGGGCCTTGTTAATCAGCAGAAGAGAAGAGTGAGGGGGGATTTGATAGCAGCCTTCAACTACCCAAAGGGGGTTCCAAAGAGGATGGAGCTCAGCTGTTCTCAGTGGTGGTAGATGACAGAACAAGGAGTAATGGTCTTAAATTTCAGGGGGGGAGGTGTAAGTTGGATATTAGGAAATACTATTTCACTAGGAAGGTGGTGAAGCACTAGAATGTGTTACCAAGGGAGGTGATGGAATCTCCATCCTTAGAGGTGTTTAAGACCCGGCTGGGATGATTTAGTTGGTGTTGGTCCTATTTCGAGCAGGGGGTTGGATTAGATGACCTCCTGAGGTCTCTTCCAAGCCTAATCTTCTATGATTATATGATTGTGGCTTTTTGGTCATCTAGTAAAGTGTTCTTAAACAATTCTCAATTGTCATTCACATTTTTCTGATTAAATTCTTCCTCTTAGCCGATTTGGCTCATAATTGTTTTCAGCTTTGTAAAACTGGCCCGTTTAAAACACCAAGTAAATATATCACTGGTTCTGCCTTTATGCTGTTTGCACATTATAAATGTGATGAAATCATGATCACTTGCGTTGTGTATGTGGTTGTCGTGGTAATAGCCCATTGTTGTTGCTATGGCAACCAAGTTAGATTATTAGCGGATAGCCCAGCCAGTTTTAGCTGGTTTGGTTAGTTCAGAGTGTGGAAAATAAATGGCTGCTTTCATGGCTCACAGCTCTCTGTGTCTCAAGTGATTTCTTCCTAAAACTGCTGCCCCCAAGGATACAACAAAGCGGCGATGAGGGTGGGATCCCTGTGCTGCCCCAGCAACAGAAGGAAGTAGAAGTCAAGGTAGAAGAAAAAAAACTATCAAAATCTTTCAGCTGTTAGAAGGGGGTGAAAACTGGCTTGTTGGCACTGACTGTGAAACCTGAAACTAAAAGCATGGCTACACTTACAGGGCCACTGAAACCTTTTGAGAGTGTAGTGCAATGGCATGTGTATACTGAGTGTTTTGAGCTTTTTGTTATTGCAAATCACATTACAGCAGAGAAGAAGGTGCCAATATTCTTAACTGTTGTGGGGGCTAAGACCTACTCCCTGCTACGCAGCTTTCTACACCCTGTGGAGCCTGAGACCAAATCTTACAGTGACATTGTGGAAATCCTGGGGTCCCATTTTTCCCCCAAAACCACTGGTAATTGCTGAAAGATATAGGTTCCACAAAAGAGACCAAAAAGAAGATGAAACAGTTGTACAATTTGTAGCAACTTCAAAACGACTAGCAGAACACTGAATTTAAGGAGATGTTAAATGATGCCCTGCGTGACAAGTTAGTGTCTGGCCTGTACAGTGAAGCTATATGGAAGTGCCTATTGACAGAGGCTCAGCTTACCTTACAGAAGACTGTTGATATTGCAGTCTCTATGGAACTGGCTACAAAGGAGGTGTAACCCCTAGGGTGCATAAAGTGTCACAAGAACCTACCCAGAAAACTGTGCAGAGTCAGGAATGTTACCGCTGTGGTAAGCCGGGTCACCAGGAATCAGAATGCTGGTGTAAGGACCTGGTGTGTCGACACTGTGGCAAAAAGGGACACATTGAGTGTGCCTGTAAACAAAAGAAAAAGAGGCCTGTGGTCTGGCCAACCAAAAAAGGGGAACCTGCATACCCTAGAGCAGACCCAGGATGACCAAGGTGACACCTCATCGCAAGAAGAAGTGCCACTGCGGGTTTTGTCTTTGGCCGTGGGCTCACATGAATACTGGGTAACTCCGCTGTTGGATGGTAAACCTATACACATGGAACGGGACACCGGTGCAGCCATCTCGCTGGTCTCCGAGGCTGTGTATAAAGAAAAGCTACAGCATCTTCCGCTTAAGGCAACAAAAACTGTTCTGAAGACGTATACGGGAGAAGCTGTGTCCATGTTGGGCACTGTTGATGTTAAGGTGGAGCTCAATGGACAGGCTGCTAAATTGCCACTGTTTGTGGTGAGAGGTAATTACCCAGCCTTAATGGGTAGGTCTTGGCTTGGGAAGATTCAGCTGAACTGGGCAGAAGTGCACCAAATGACTAAAGAAGAAACCGGTCTGACTACTATACTAAGGAAACATGTTCCTGTTTTTGGAGAGGATCTGGGAAGTATGAAGGGAATCACTGTGACATTGAACATTAAACAGTCAACCAAAATATCTGAAAGCCTGACTGTGCCAAATGCCATCAGGCCGAAAGTTGAAGCCTACCTGGAGCGCCTGGTCACCAATGGAGTCCTAATACCAGTTACCCACAGTCCATGGGCCACTTCTATCATTCCAATAGTGAAGAAAGATGGCTCCCTCTGGATTTGTGGTGATTTTAAAGTCACTGTCAACTCGGTGTTGTGTGCAGAGCAATACCCGCTTCTCCGCATCGATGACCTCTTCACAGGCCTGGCTGGGGGAAAAAAGTTCAGTAAGCTTGATCCGAGTCAAGCGTATTTACAGATGCACGTTGATGAAAAGTCGCAAGAGCTGTTGACTATTGTGACTCATAAGGGGCTTAATAGATAGTGTTGCCTACCCTTCGGAATAACGTCTACTCCCGCCCTGTTCCAGAGGGCTATGGACCTGATCTTGTGTTGAAAGAAAAGGAGTACCTGTGGCACCTTAGAGACTAACCAATTTGTTTGAGCATAAGTTTTCGTGAGCTACAGCTCACTTCATCGGATGCATACTGTGGAAAGTATAGAAGATCTTTTTATACACACAAAGCATGAAAAAATACCTCCCCCCCACCCCACTCTCCTGCTGGTAATAGCTTATCTAAAGTGATCACTCTCCTTACAATGTGTATGATAATCAAGGTGGGCCATTTCCAGCACAATCCAGGGTTTAACAAGAACGTCTGCGGGGGGAGGGGGTAGGAAAAAACAAGGGGAAATAGGTTACCTTGCATAATGACTTAGCCACTCCCAGTCTCTATTCAAGCTTAAGTTAATTGTATCCAATTTCCAAATGAATTCCAATTCAACAGTCTCTCACTGGAGTCTGGTTTTGAAGTTTTTTTGTTGTAATATCACAACTTTCATGTCTGTAATCGCGTGACTAGAGAGATTGAAGTGTTCTTGTGTGGCTTGCCAGGAGTTCAGTGCTATCTGGATGACATCCTGGTCACTGGAAGGAATGAAGAGGATCACTTAAAGAATTTAGAGGCTACCCTACAAAGACTGGAAAAGTATGGCCTACGAGTCCACAAAGCCAAGTGCGAATTCTTCCAGCCCTCCCAGTTGAATATTTGGGACACACCACTGATGCTGCGGGTCTTCATAAGGCCCCTGCAAAAGTTAAGGCTATTGTGGAGGCTCCCCCACCTCGAAATGTTAGTCAGCTGCGCTCATTTCTAGGACTATTGAACTATTATGGAAAGTTCATCTCACAGCCACATTGCTAAAACCACTTCACAAACTCCTTGGGCAGAACAAGACCTGGAGGTGGACTGAAGCCTGTAATGTTGCATTTAACAAAGCTAAAGATGCATTGCTAAATTCTGAAGTTCTAACACACTTTGATCCATCCTTACCCCTACAATTGGACTGCGATGCCTCCCCTTATGGAGTGGGTGCAGTCGTGTCACACATTATACCTTCGGGAGAAGAGAGACCTATTGCTTTTGCTTCATGCACTCTAAGCAAAGCAGAAACTAACTATGCCCAAATCGAACGTGAGGCATTGGGAATCATTTTTGGAATTCGGAAGTTTCATCAGTACCTGTTTGGGCGGAAGTTTACTCTTCTTACAGACCATCAACCTCTGACATCAATTTTTGGACCCTACAAAGGCATTCCCCCATTAGCTGCTAGTCGCATGCAACGTTGGGCATTGTTACTTTCAGTGCACACATATGAAATCAAATATCGGAAATCCACTCTGCACGGCAATGCAGATGGTCTCTCAAGGTTGCCTTTGCCAGTCAAACATCAAGATACTGCCCAAAAGGAAATCTTCTACTTTGAACACGTAGAGAATACACCCAGCACTGCTACTCAGATAAAGAAAGCCACTCGCGTTGACCCAATATTGTCCCAAGTTATGGACCTGGTGATGCATGGAAAATCTTGACAAACCTCTCCAGTCTCACCCGACCTTGTTACCTACATGTCCAGGAGGACGGAGTTATCAATCCAGTCTGGTGTTTGTTGTGGGGGGAGACGTGTCATTATCCCACCACCACTGAGATCACAGATATTAGAACAGCTACATTCTGGTCACTGTGGAATAGTGCGCATGAAGGAAATTGCATGAAGCAATTTTTGGTGGCCTGGATTGGACAGTGCTATTGAAGAGAAAGCAAGAGCTTGTATGTCATGTCAGGGTATCAAGAATGCACCCCAGTGGGAGCTCCTACACCCATGGGACTGGCCTGAAAATCCGTGGCAATGTATTCATGTTGACTTCACTGGCCCCCTTGAAGGAAGCATGTTCTTGGTGGTGGTAGAGACCCATTCTAAATGGCCAGAAGTCTCTATAATGCAGTCCACTGCTGCAGAGAGTACTATTCAAAAACTACGGGGACTCTGTAGTCGTTTCGGGCTGCCAGAACAACTTGTGAGCGACAACGGACCGCAGTTCGTCTCTCAGGAGTTTCAAAATTTTATGAAGGCAAATGGGATACACCACATCACTTCAGCACCATATCATCCATCCACCAATGGATTAGCTGAAAGATTTGTGCAGACAATGAAACAAGCTTTGAAATCAGCAAGGGAACAACACTCCATTCAAAAGCATCTGGACACCTTCTTACTTTCCTACAGAAAGGCACCTCATCCTACGACCAAGGCATCCCCGGCCTTTCTAATGATGGGACGACAGCTGTGCACTTGCTTTGATCTGCTGAAACCTTCTGAACCCAGACAAATTGTGCAACGTCAGCAGCAATATCAAGTCATCAGGCATGCACCCAAAGCAAAAGACTGAACCTTTAGCTTGGGACAGCCAGTTTGGCTCAGAATTATACTGCTGGAGCTAAATGGGTCCCTCCCACAATCATCGCTCAAACAGGACCTGTTTCCTACACAGTCCGGACTGCAGAGAATCTCACCTGGCGGTGACATGTAGATCAGCTGTTGCCAGGTCATGCCAGTCCTCAGGACATATCTTCAGTTGAGTTGTCTGGCTTCACCTCTTCTGGCAAGACACCGAATCAAGAATCACCTGTTCCTGACTGTTCTCCTCCATCACTGCTGGCTGCTGAGATACCCCCTTGCCCAGAACAAGCTGATACCACCTCCTCACCCATTTGCGCTACGAACCCTGAGCCCGTTGTCAGGCCTGCGCCCCAGGTACTTTCCGGTGCAACACCACCAGAAGTTTGCCATAGTCCACCTAGAGACAGAAGACCTCCTCAATGGCTGGATCTTTAGCTAGGGCGAACCCACGGTTATGGGGCAAAATAATCCTCGGGGTTTAGCTCGGAATGGAGGCAGTCTACCCTCCTTCTCTAGTTTAGTGTTTGTTTTATTTAGGGGATGTTCTTATTAAGGGGGGAGGAATATGTTGTGTATTTGGTTGTCGTGGTAATAGCCCCTGGTTGTTGCTATGGCAACCAAGTTAGATTATTAGGGAATAGCCCAGCCACTTGTGGCTGGTTTGGTTAGTTCAGTGTGTGGAAAATAAATGGCTGCTTTCATGGCTCACAGCTCTCCTTGTCTCAAGTGATTTCTTCCTAAAACTGCTGCCCCCAAGGATACAACAACTTGTACCTATGTTCCCATTTCTGTTAAGAGGAGGTCTAATATAGATTTCCCCTGTGTCGGGTGATCTTAATTCAGCAGAAAACTGGTTGCATGGAAACCCACATATTCCTGGAAAAATATGTAAAAGTGACTAAAATAATCTATTTATACATACAATACCTCTGAGTCCATAGCATAAACATGTTGCCAAAATATTCAAAGAGCTGTACTTTAAAAAAATCAATATAAATAATCCACTGGCTAACTTAAAAAAACCACACAGTTCATTTTAAAGCAATAGAAAATCTGTGACAGGAAACCAGGTAGGGGTGAAATTTACCATATGCTCTCTTTATAGGGATCTCATCATTGTCAACATAGACAACTCTCTCAAACAAAGGTGTTTTCAGGTCTGATAAAGTAAGGTTCTGAGCCCCTCCTACAAGGTTCTGAGTTCCTTTAATTAGTGTTTAGTGCGCCTGTCAGGCTGGGCCTCTAATAAGACCGAAAACTTTGTTTTGGCAAACTTTGTATTTATGGTGGGTTAAAGTGTTTTGGTTTTGCTTTCGTTTTCTTTCTTTGCACCCTGCTTATCTAATCAAATTACCCATCCACTCAGCCATAGAGAGAAAAAAATGGATGTTTCTATACCTTTAAATAACAGAGGGTCAGAATAAACTTTACGCACTGTTGTATTAAGTTTGATGGGATATATGGGCTAAGGGAGTTAACATAACCCAGTCACTGTCCAAATTAAACAAGGTCCGGAGTTTGGCATACAGAGACTTCAGCCATGGCAAACAAACTATTAAAAATCTTTTTAACGTTTTATTAATTAAACTGAAAGTAAGGAAAAACAGTTAAAACATTCAAAATGTAAAGTATTAAGTGAAGATTTTATTTTAACAACATTTCTTGTTCCCTTTCCCTTTAACTAGAGAGAATTTTAGAAGGAAAAACAAACAGCCCTTGTTTGACAGTCCCTTAGATCAGTGGTTCTCAAAGCTGGTCCGCCGCTTGTTCAGGGAAAGCCCCTGGTGGTCTGGACCAGTTTGTTTACCTGCCGCATCCACAGGTTTGGCCGATTGCGGCTCCCATTGGCAGCGGTTTGATGCTCCAGGCCAATAGGGGCTGCGGGAAGGGTAGCTACCACGTCCCTTGGCCTGCGCCACTTCCCGCAGCCCCCATTGGCTTGGAGCGGCGAACCGCGGCCAATGGGAGCCGCAATTGGCCGAACCTGCAGACATGGCAGGTAAACAAACCAATCTGGCCTGCCAGGGGCTTTCCCTGAACAAGCGGCGGACCGGCGAACCACTGCCTTAGATGGTATTGGGTAAAAGAGCAAAAGTTAGTTGTGATGGGCTGGTACTATTGTTGTTGCTGCTATTTAACTCCAAAACTGTCCTTCCCAGGGAAAAAAAGAAATTAGTTGAGATTAGATTAGATGTTGCTGCTGCTTTTAAAGTCTGATCCCATTTTATCACAGGTGGTATTTGGGGTTCAGCTGGAGCCAGCAGAAGTGGCAAAGATATCTGAGTCCTCTCTCTGGCCTGGTCCTGGTCAGGTCATCTCATCTCTTAAGGTTAGGACAAAGAAGATCCAGGGTCCCAGGAGACAATGGGGGTGGCAGCCATGATAGTGAAGTATGAGTCAGTAGCCTCAGTCTGCTCTTCTCCTTCCTCCCCAGAATCTCTTTCTTTAAAGACACAAAAGGGGAATGATGGGTGGAATAACCATCCTTTTATTATTTTGTCCACCAATTAGGCCTAATATCTGACACACTCCAATTTTGGTTCATTAATTTCTTGTTCCTCATCTTCTGCTTTTACCAAGCATGATTTTAATGTACTCCTTGAACCATATCAGAAGGCCCTTTGTTTAGACTAATTTAGTTCTTCTGTCTCCTTTTTGTATCTTTTTTCATCAACATGTGTTATTATAGGTTATTGTGACACCTTGTGAACTTTCATATACTTTTTACAGGTGAGTTCACAATTAGAATAAATTTTTAGGCCCCACTATTACAACATAACCCAACTCATTTTCTGTCTTTATAGAAAGAGAACTCATATTTTCTCATCATCTCTCTTACTTTATTCTACTCTTTATTAAATATAAATTGACAGATTACCTTTGATTTATCAGAAACCAAAACAAGATAAACATCGATGTTCTAGCAATCATCAGTATCTCTTTGAAGATACTTTTTGCCCATTAGAACTCTTTGTTTCACTTTAGTAGTTGTTGGTACTTCCCAAGTTTGGAGACATTTTATACTGGATTTTATTCCACTTGGTTAACTAACTTTGCCTGATTTGCTGGTCTCAACACCAGTATCTTTTCAGAAAA